GAAGAAGCTACACGCATTAGCCTGAAAGTGAAGCACGGGAGGAGAGGCGAAAAGAAGACGCCTGATTTGTTGCTGAGCTCTCGACCTGAATAAATCATTTATCGATAAATCTGCCAGTCAGCCTGAGCACAGGGGGGGTTACGGCAGGAATCCATAACTCTCTTTATTAAAGGCCAGTGCAAGAATACCTCAGTGTTCCACTCAGATACTTCCCCTTTAATCCCCCCCCCCCCATCCATTGGAGATTTATTCAAGATAGCATGACTGAAGGAACCCAGTACACAGAAATATCGGAAGAAGTGAGTTGCTGATACGTTATATAAAAGCCTATTGGTTCATTTTCATTATATAAATATACATAATGCTACCATGAAACTACATTACTAACATTATTATTAGGAGAGAAACAATTAACAATATAAATTTAATCTTCCTTTAATAAACGCGGGTGACCTCTTTCTGGTGGAGTGGATTCCACGGTGTCTGGCACAGATTACACTCTGCACGAAAGCTCATGGCTTCAGCTACCTGAGAAACGACATGGCTGAAGCTTCTTCGATTTGCCCAGGTACCTGCGAGAGACGTGTGGATGCTGATCATGCTCGCACGTCACAAATGAGAGTAAAGCACGTGGCCGACTAGCTTCCCCTTCGGCATTCACTGGATAGCCTGCGTCAATGCGTCCCTGAAAATTGCAACGTTACACTATAAATATAATAGGCAATGGCATTCTGTCAGTGGCATCAACCAAATGAAAATGATTTCATTTTGAGATAAAAATGTCTGGTCATGGAGGACGACACCAAAAGCATCGTGCAAACTTTTTTGCGTGGCTTATGCACCTAACTAGGCCATCTCATTCGACACCGTGATCGTGGCCGTCGCAGCATAACCGCGGTGCAGCCGACTGGGCGCAAACGTGCCGCTAATGCACCACAGTCCCATCGTACTGGCCAGCAAATGCTTCCGGAATTTATTTTCTGCCCAGGGACGCAGATCCACAAAGGCGTAATGGCAGTGCGCTTCCGCTCTACTCCAGCAGAACAGCCTTTTATGGTAATTGCACTTATTTAAAATGAATAGTAATTAAAAACAGCATGAGTATGTCATGTGGTGAGTTTTTTCCCCTCAATGTGAATATTAAAAAATACAAATAAATGAATAAATAATATCTTTTCAAGCAATATATAAATAAACCAAGTCCCAGTGCAAGATTGCAGGTTTGTTTGATGTGTAATGAGAATGAAAAACTAAAAGTTATATAAAAAGACAAAGTATATTAAAAATATATATGTTTTATATAATAAACTATTTTAAAACTTGTTTCTCACGAACACATTTACACTCACAGTTACATTTATGCACATTTAAGCTCAACTGGCTGCAATTCAGCAGTGTTGTTATTGTAAGATAAATAATTAAAAAAAATCTATATATTTTGAAATATTCACTTATTCAACCTGAAGAACAAAGAGGAAGTATAAAAAAATCTAGAAAACTCAAAAGGTTCAAAACACTTCTTTTCAAGGAGAAGTCATATTAATATTAGTAGATTACGTCAGGCAGCTGTTTGAACAGAGTGTAGAGATCTGTACTCTCACGTTGATGTTACCTATAGTAGCTGGTAAGAGTGAATTGCTTGTCTTGCATCCACACGGTTACTTTTAGCTAGCTGGCTGCATAATGTATGAGTAGAGTTGCATTCTCTCAATACTGCATTAATCACTGCCATGACCCTCACCATTTTGTGTGTAAAGAACACAGTGAATCCAAATATCTACTGAAATAACGCATGTAATCTTGCACTTTATCCAGATATTATTTTTTTTGCAGTTTTTTACAGAAGTTCAATGGTATCGAATAAAAAAATAATAAATAAGTTGATTGGAAAATTCCATCTGTTGGGATGTATCCATTAGTAGAAAAGACATGAATTACTTAGTAATTAATTAATTAGTTCTTTATTTAACCAAAGGCTTTTTAAAATGTTATTTAAATTTTAGGTGGTTATGCCTACTAGTACTTTCAGAATTCATTGGTTTGTTTTCTACAGTTAAATCATTTTGTTTTTCATACCAGTAATTAGGCTCAAATAAATGTGCAAATATTTAACATTACTAGTAAATGTAATAAATACAAGCAGATTTATTTTGTATTGTTATCCAGAATAATTTCAGTAAAATATATGCCAATAGACGCAGTCAGGATAATTCCCAAATCTATTTAGAAATAGAAAATACTTATGTTAATAATTAAACATTTGCTTTTCCTTATTTTAGCACAAATATAAATTTTTTTGTACTGCTGTGATAATTTTAAAATTTCAGATATAACATAACACCATTAATAGCAGAGCGCTTTATACGTATTAAAATTATTTTATCTTTTGCGTCTATGTATTTTATTTTGGATAACCAAAAACAAGAACAACATCAAGATTATTTTATTATTATCATTATTATTATTAATAATAATTATTATAATAATTACTGTTTTTTTTGCTGATTTTGGAATATATAGCTGGTTTATTGAATTATGCTTTAGCTGAGCGGTTTCACTACTGCCAAGAAAAACCCAGTAGAAACAAATCCCTTGCATGCAAAGTAAAAAAAAAAATAATAAAATAAAAAAAAAACATTCTTCAAAACGGCAACTTTGTGCCAGGCTGCCCTCAGCAGAGAGTCGTGCCGTTTGTTTTCCTGTCATGTTCAGCCATGTTCTTTATCACCTTACAGGAGCAGAGCCCAGGTGAACAGGAGCTCTGGCCTGAACAATGGCAGCGAGCTCCAACTGTAACAATGCACAATTAGGACTGTGTACAACGAATTTGCGAGAGTTAAACAATACATATGAATTCATTATTTAGATAGTTAATTTATAAGTAAAAAAACAGGGGAAAAATTAGTGAATTTAATAAGACTAAGCTCATTGTTTGAATGAATTTATAATAGTATGAAAAATAAGAATGGAGTTAATAATAAAATATTATTTACAGGAAGTATATAAAACTACAGAAAAATGTATCCATTGTTTTAGGTATTATTTCTATGACACGTTAGGTGCAAACATAAAACTAAACAATAGTAGAGTCTTCAAAATAGCACATGCAACATTAATAACAGGCACTGGCCACACTTGCGATTTTCTCCTTAATTTTAATGCTGTTTGGTGACCTTTTTTCAAAGCAATTACAGGGTCAGTCCTGAAGCCAGAGATGCTCTCGTTTATTGTATGCTTACTCTGGGTATGATTGATGTTGCACTACCAAACAGTAAACTAATTATAACCATTATGTGGAGTTATTTTAAAAGGGTTACAATCACGTCTCTCTCCAGCTTGGAGCCCCGATCAGGCTCAGTAACGATTTATAACGGATTAAAGGAGACCGGAATGGCGTCAACAACAGATACGCTCAGGCAGAAATTGTATTATGCGATTATTTTAAACACATTTTCCTTCACTATATATAACCTGTGTTTAGCAATTTGCTTGCAACGCGGTGGAAACTCATCAGCGAGCTGCTCAGTTGTCAGGCTGGATGGTACAGTCGACAGACTACTGCGATTGGCCGCCGTAATTAAAAGCTTTGAGGTCGGCGCTTTCGGGACAATGAAACTCAGCCACCGATCACGGGTAGGAAATTTAGAGTAATAAAGTCTGGGAAATATCTGTCTAATCTCCTTGGCCTGTGGCTGTCAGCATTGCATTCATCCCCTACTTAGAGTCCACATATTAAGCAGCTGCACCAAAGGACAGAGTCACTCAAGGCGGGGTAATTCTTAAGACAGGACGCTTGAAGGATCCAACCCGCCGGGAACGTAATGCCAACGGACCACGATAACCAAGGGGGGGGGGTACGCCACTGATGGAAGGGGGTGGGGTCACTTCACAGTTTGTGATGGAAAATATGCTCTTTCATCCAACAATTCATCTTATTTGTTTGCATCAGCTGGTCAACAATTTCTCTTGTGCTGTTGGCGTCAATGGAACTCAAAAGAAATAAAAAAAGAATCCTGTCTTGTTTTTCTAAGCAAATCATATTACATTGTTATTTTTTTTGCCTCAGTCTGGTTCCCAGACAGCTGAATTTGTCTGTGTGATGCCATGGTGATAAACAGACTTCAGAGAAACACAGATTTTAAAATGGCTTTGACATTAAATAGCCACTGCTTTATATGAAATAAACTAAGTTTTTATTTTTGACTGAAACAAAAATGAATGTTTTGGGATCAGCAGGATCATTTTGCCCTTCCGTTTAGTTAGTTTCGTTTAGATAAAATATCAGAGTAAGCAGTACAAAAAAAAGAATGATAAAATGACAAATATTATCATCTGCAGATCAGTAAATAAAGTGACCTTTAAATATTTAAATGATCTAAATACCATTAAAAAGCTGCATGATCAGTTATTTTAAATAATTTGAAAAAATTGCATTTCAACCACATTTCAAGAGGGGAAAACTTTATAATACAATTGAAAATTTATTTTATAAAAAAAGCACATTTCCTATTAATCAGACTTACTTAAAAAGCACTGATTTTGAAAAAAGAGCCCAGCTCTGATTTCAATGAAAGCCACCGTGTTGTAATGAAGCAAATTCTACCTGAAACGAACTGGGATCAGCAAACTACTGCGGAGGAGGCAGGGAAACCAGTTAAACACACGCACGGTCCTTCCTCAGAAAATTTCCCACCCGACGCGATCATAGAACCTCGGGTCCCGCATTCCGGCACTGCTGTCCCATGTCCATTTACAACCAGAGTCAATCGAGTACCGGGGAACCACAATACGGAATGTCTTCTAAAAAAAAAAATGAAAAATACACACAGTGCAGCTATGGCGACGTTTGCCTTTCAGCTGCACGCGCTCAGTACACCTGCAGTATGTTCGCAGAGCGGAGGGGACAGCTTTTAACCTTTATATTAAACATCGTCTCCTCTACGGCACGATGTGTCCTGACACGACGGAGCACTCATGTGAGCGGGGCGAGCGGGTCTTACCCGTGGAGGGGGGCTGAGGAAGAGGACCGCAGGCCTGTAACAGATAGGAGTTGGGGGAAAACTCATCGTCAGCGTGAGACTCCAGAATGGGGCGGGGGGAGCTGCTGTCGAGCAGGGGCACCTGGCACTCTCTGACGGCTGGGGGGGCGGGTTGGAGGGGGCCGGAAGGTGGAGGAGGGGCAGGTGGGAGCAGGCTGGAGGCAGGAGTGGGAGGGAGGGGGCCACCTGGGGAACGGACAGACAGAAGGAGGAAGTTACAAACCGGAGGACGGGGCCAGAAAGGTACGCATTGTAGAGACACACACACACACACACACACATAATCTCAGCCCCCTGTCTGCCTCGGCTGCTCTGCGTTTCTCATCTATAAAAAAGGCGACTTTTTCAAGCTGCGCGGCTGCGGGGGGGGCAGATCAAGGCGAGAGGACACTCACCGCCGCTGTTGGACTGACAGGACGAGAGATACGCAGAATAAGGTATGAAGGGAAAAATTAGCTGGAGCAGCACTAAAGAAGAATGGGGGGGATGGTGGCGAGAGGGACCGGGGGGGTGGGGGACTGGGGGGGCGTAGCTGTAACCGTCAACGCAAAGTTTCCAAAGTTTATTATTATTTTTACTCCAGTCTCATCCTCATCTCAGCTAAACAAACAAACAAACAATAATAATCTCGCCACAGATATTAAAGCTTATAACTTTTAGAATGTATATAACACAAAGCAGAGTTGAGGGGTGTCTGGAGGCTGGACAGGGGAGAAAAGAAGTTCACAAGTTTAAACGTTAAAACTCTGTGCAGGAATTTTGCTTTTGAAGCCAAGAATCGCGATTTGCAATTTTAGGACGACACCAGTGCTGGGCTGCTAAATAATGTCGATGGGGGGGGGGGGTT